GTCCTTCTCTGCCATCACGTAGTCCGTGTCAGTCTTCTTCGATGTAGACCCTCTTGCCGACTTCGTGGCCGCCACTCTTATGGGTGTGGTCGCCATGTCCCCTTCAAAAGTTATCTTGATGCTCTGGCTCCTGACCGGCTCCATTCCRTTACTCGGTTTCAYTCTCCTTGCTTCGACATTCTCCTTCATCGAAGGGAACATCGATACATCTCCCAAATTATCTGCCCACTTGACGTACTTGCGGTTGTCAAGCACGACAAGTCCCTCATCTATTGCTCGCCTGAGGTCCGGGCAATCCCTCTTGATATGGTTTTCTCCTCTACAGTAGACACATGAGTTCCTGGGAGTAGATGGTCTGTCATCTGCGGTCCTAGAAATCGCGCTCCTGGGTGCCTTGGGGTCAGGCGACTTGGGATATGTTTCTGGCGAGATGCCATATCCCCCTCTATCACTCCTACCGCGCGAATCGCTGCTGCGGTCTCCTCCTGATCTTCCTTGCTCGTACCGCCCTCGCGAATCATTTCGGCGGTCCCCCGAGCCATATCGCCCTTGCGACTCATCCCGTCGGTCTCCTCGGTTGTACCACCCTCGCGACTCATCGCGCTCTCCTCTCACGTCTTCCCCGCGCTCAAATCGTCCGCGCGACCCATCTCGTCGGTCCCAGTCCCTATCTCCTCTCCCATACCTACCACCTCGGTAGCTATCTCGGGTCGACCTCTCGTATCTGACATCCCTATACCCATCTCGTCGGCCCTGATCTGTCTCCCATCGGCCACGAGAGTCGCCCCTTTCCCGATCGGCCTCATAGCGGGGGCTCCGCGGATAATCGTCCAGCCCCCTCGCTCGTACAAACGGATCGCGATCTCTGCGGTCTCTGTCTATCTCATCGTCCCTACGTCGCCATGCCTCATCGTCTCTCTCTATTTCTCTCATTCTATATTCAGTCAGCGTCCGAGGGTTTCTATCGTCGACGCTCCTCCAGGGATCGCTGTTCCTACGGTCCCAGCAAAGTGAATAGGGCCCCCCAGGTTGGTCCCGGTATGCCGTGACCCCTGTAGTGGATACAATCTCAGTAACCTGCCTCGTTAATCCCTTGACCATATCCCGTATCTCCTTCACTTCCTCTGCCACGGCCTCATTCTTCTCCGACCAGGGATAGTCCTTGAAATCAGGACATCTATCCGTGGCATACTCTTTGTAGAGAGAGAAGTCACGTCTTCTCATCCCCCTCCACACCAAGTCCTTGTAATCATCTGCCTCTGCCTTTATCG